TGAATAAATGAATTTCAATGTCACCAGCAGTTTGGTCTACATCTTTTTTGTACTTTAGAGCATATGGAAATGAGAACAGTGTGAGTAATTTGAGCAAATTCGATTTTCTAGATTAAGAGCTGAAATATAGGCCTCCTTTTTCTTCTGTCATTAGCACTATTCTGGGTCCATCCAGCAGTTCTAGGTACGCCAACTGTGTGATATTTCAAAATAAAAGTTTACCACATTATAAAAACAGACACCTAAATGCAAAAGGTGACCTATTCCCAGTTTGTACATTTCTTCTCGTAATCGCAGGCTTCCATGATGGGTGAAAACAGGAAAGAAAGCCACTTAAAGCAAACGAACGCGCACTCACCCATGTGCTTGTTCCAAAGTGACCCGGTGACTGTCTCCTGCCACGTCCTTTAGGAAGTCATGGATACACAGGGACTTTGGGACAGGTGTTGGGGGAGGCAGCTCTACTGAGATTTAACTCACAGACTGCAAAATTCACCAGTTAAAGTGTGAGATTCAGCGACTTTCAGTCTATTCGCAGCGTTGTGCAGCCATCACCACCATCAATTGTAGAAGATTCCGTCACCCCAAGAAGAAGTCCTCATCCCTTTAGCAGAAACTCCCATTTCTCCCCAAACACTGCCACCCCCGCCAACCAGAGAGTCAGAGTGTGCACCTGACATAGTAGCCACCGTGTCTGAGCCACATACTGGGCCTAGATAAGAGCTAAAAACTGTTGGAACGTATCGTGTTCCAGGTACTTTTCTAAACACTTCTCGTACGTTAATTCATTTAATTCTCACAACAAATTCATGAGGCAGGTGCTCTCATCTCCTATTTTACAGAGAATAAACTTACCTCCCATTCTCTACCTCCCATAACGTGGCTTCTGCTAAAGACTTAAAGAAGAAAATACAAGAATTAGTCAAAGAAAAAAAAGAGTGGGGGGTGAGGGCCAGAGAGAGAGCGAGTGAGAGAGTGAGCGAGAGAGTGCAGTGTAAAATCCAGTGGGTTAGGGGTGGGTGTGGAGTGGAGGGGGTCAATGAGGGGAAAACGGGAGCACCGGTAACACTTTCGACAATAAAGATACATTTTTCAAAATCCGGTAGGTCCTCCTTTGATACCACTTTCCTTCAGTGTGAAGTTTCCTTTAGCATCTCTTGTAGAAGAGTCTGCTTGTGACAAACTCTCTTAGTTTTCTTTCAGTTGTTTCTTAAAATCTCTTTATCTTGTCTTCATTCCTGAAAGATGTTTTTACTGGATACAGAATTCTGTGTTGGCAGTGTTTTTTTGTTTGTTTGTTTGTTTTGTTTTGTTTTCGAATTATGCGGGCATCCTTGTATAGTTAACAACAGAGTTGGCAGGAACCAGGCCCAGGATGCCAGCCAGCTTCCGGCTGCTGTTCTCCCAGCAGTGTAACACTTACCTAGGTATGAGGCCACCTAGGCAGCTATGTTTTTTGTTTTTAATTTGAGGAATTTAAAGATAGTGTACTTCTACTCTGGTTCCTTTGTTTCTGACGAGACATTAACCATCAGTCACATTATTTTAAGCCTGTATGTAGGGGGTCCTTTTTCTGTTGCTTTTACAACTTACTCCTTATCTTTGGCTTTTGATCATTTGACTATGATGTGCCTTGACATGGTCTTATTCATGTTTATCTTGCTTGGTGTTTGTTGAGTCTTGAATATGCAAATTTATTTCATTAGACATTTATAAATTCTAGGCATTATTTCTTCAAATAATTTTTCTGCCTCATTTTCTCTTCTTTTTTTTTTTGTTACTAAAATTACATGTATGTTAGACAATTTGATATCACCTACTAGGTCCCTGAGGTCTGTTCATATTTTTCATCTTCTTCCTTTCTACTCTTCATTAATATTTTCTCTCTTATCTCCATTTTGTTATTACCCAACAAATTTTCATTCCAGGTAATGTAGTTCTCTTTCTGCAGATTCCATTTGGTTCTTCTCTGTGATTTCCATTGTTCTGCTTGTCTGTCCTGTCCTTCCATTCGTCACACGAATACGTAGTTTTACTTCACTGAGGATAGTAATACTGGCCACTACTTCCAGGCTCAGAGGTACCTCAGGGTTTGTCTCAGTTGATTTTCTTTTCTCCTGAAAATGTGCTTTATTTTTGTGGTTCTTTCAAATATTGGGTGATTTTGTGATTGTATCCTGAACATTATGAATGTAATTTTTGGAAAGTCTGGATTCTGTCTCTTTTTTTTTTCTGATGACAGTTGTTTCTTTTGTTTTATGAGACAATTATTTTAGTTGGATTTGAACTGAAAAATCTGTTCTTTAGACAGCAGATCTGAATCAGCCCAGACTTTTTAAAAATAAACTTCTATTTAGAGTAGTGTTAGCTTTAGAGAAAAATTGCAAAGATAGTACAGGGAGTTCTCACTGTACTCCATACCCAGGTTCCTTATTTTGACATATTATTATACTAGATTTTTATAATTAATACCAGTGTTGACAATATGTATTAACTAAAATCCAAACTTTTCTCAGATTTCCTTTGTTTGTGCAAAATGTCCTCTTTCTCTTCTGGGATCCCATCCGGAAGAGCACATTGCGTTTAGTCACGACCTTAGGTCTCCTCCGGCCACCCTGGGTGGCGCGGCGTTTCAGACTCACCTTGTGCGCTGGAGGGGCTGGTCAGGAATTCTCAGACTGTCCCTCACGTGGGCTTCGCTTCATGCTTTTCTCAAGATCAGACGGGTGTGTGTTTCTGAGAGGAAGGCCGCGGAGATGAAATGCTCTTCCCACAGCAGCGTATCCAGGGTGCACATCGTCCGAAGGACGCGTCACTGTGGACGCTGACCTTGATCTCCTCACTGAAGTCCTTTCCTCCTGTGACGTTCTTCTCGCTCATCTGCCCACACGGCGCCCTTGGGGAGGAAGGCTCTGTGCCACCCCCTTGCGCGGTGGGGTCACCCCCATCCTCGAGCAGACCTTGTCTTCTGCCAGGGGACATGGCGTGTGTTCTGCACCCCGTGGTTCCGCCGTCAGCCAGACACGGTCGACAGAGGGTGACATTCCCTCTCTGACTCCTGTCCCTCTGAGACGCCCCTCGCGCTTCTCGGAGGCAGTTTTTCTCAGATTCGGCCTTTCGCTCCTCCCAGCTGGAAAGGCCGGTTTTGCCGCCGGTGCGCCTGGCCGCATGCCGCATGCCGCGTGCTTTGTGCTTTGAAAATGTTCTGCTCCTCCCCACCAGAACGTCCCTTCTTCTGTTCATGTCCTGGGCCTTTTGTCTGAAGGGCTGGCACTGGCGCTGCTTCCTCAGGGAGCTGACCCGGTGGCGGCTGGTCGTCACAGGCGGAGTCCCGCTCTCTGCCTCACACCGCGATGCCGGGCGTGGGGTCTGAACTGGGCTTCCGACCAGAAAGAACTTAGGGACCGTCAGGAATTAAGATTATGTCAGACATTCGAAAAGGATGATATCTGACAGCAGACAGTCAAGCACTGAGTTATGTGATATAAACAACAGATTCTTAACGTGGTAACAGCTGATAATGACCGGACCCTTGTAACCACCAGGTGAGGTGAGATCGTGCGTGCGGCGCCGCTTAACGTTGGGCCGTGGTTCCGGAACTGCAGTCTGACTCCAGGGGGTGATCCTGTAATGCCCTCCTGGTGGTGGATGGAGCCGTGGTGTTCACGGTGCTCGTTCCTAGAGCTGCACCCGGAAACCATACACTGCCGCCGGGAGGGCGGGCACCCGGCCCAAGTGCGGACGTGTTGCCCGTGAGCTCGACTCACACCTCAGACCTGGACACGCCCGATGGTTGCCACAGCCCCAGCTCTGCGCAGAAAGGACTGTGCCGGTCCCTCTGGCGCCGCAGAGGGTAGGGACGCTCCTTGTGGCTGCATCAGAGGAGGCGGCGGGGCCGCAGGGCCTGTCACTGGCTCTGAGGAGGGCGCTCAGCCTCCAGGGTGGACGGTGAGCGGGTCCGGAAGGAGGTCACATTGGAGCTGAATGGGCCTCCGGGCCCCGGTGACGGTGACGGAGTGACGGAGGGCGTGGAGTGAGCCAGGCCAGGGATGGGCCAGGCGTCGTCTGCGTGTGTTGTCTGGGGACATGTAGCTCCGCAGAGCACATGGGGGGCCTGGCGGAGGCAGTGCTGGGTACAGGTGTGTGCAGAGAGGAGCTGGAGTCTTCTCCCCCGGGAGCAGCATGAGCCTTTAAGAACGGGGGGCTGTGGGAGGGCCTCCTTAGCAGAATGGCGTGAGGCGTCAGGGGGAGGCCACTGCCAACATCTGGAAGGTTCTGCGAGAGCCATGACAGGAGTGGACAGGACAGATGGCGTGAGGGCCAGGGAGGAGGCATGCAGAGGGCCCAGGGCAGGGGGAGAAGTTCCATCGGGGGGAGCGGGTCGCTGGTTTGGGAAGAAGAGGCAGGCGCGGACCTCAGCGAGGAGAGCGAGCCTGGGGCTGGGCCCGCTGCGCCCGGGGCTCTCAGCCCAGCGGCTCTCCATGGCGGCTCTCCAGCCGGCATCCAGCGGCCGCATTTCCTCCATCGCTGCCGAGCAGGCCCCCGCGAGCTCCGCTTTGTGATGAGGTCGCCGCGATGTCCATGTCGATGAGCCTGCGGTGAAGTTGGTTTTGTCAAACCTCGTTTAGCGGAAAGTCTCAGAACCCGCCCGTGACCGGGGTTCACTGAGTGCTCAGGGGGTTGAGTGTGTGGAAAGGCGCCGTGGAGGGAGGGGTGACCTGGCAGCTGCCGCCCGTTGCTGATCACCCCACGGGGCTCGCACAACTCCAGCCACGCGGCCTGTTCCTCTGCCCTGTCCCAGGACGACCTCGGGAGCAACAGTTCCGTTTGTGTCACTAACACAACATGTGTCTCCCACTGTCACCCCACAGCCCGCGGCTGTGAGTGAGGGAACAGGCTGCCACTCCTGGCGGGCGGGGCGGGCACCTGGTTGGAAACGGGCTGTCGCGGTGCCAGGGCCCGAGGGGTCTCACTCTCTCTCTCCCCACTTTCTCGGCCAGTGTTCGTGAGGTTCAACTCCAGCCACGGTTTCCCAGTGGAGGTGGATTCTGCCACCAGCATCTTCCAGCTCAAGGAGGAGGTTGCTAAGCGACAGGGGGTTCCAGCCGACCAGCTGCGCGTGATTTTCGCGGGGAAGGAGCTCAGGAATGACCTGGTGGTGCAGGTGAGTGGCCGGGGGCTGGGCCGGGACGCACCCCGTGGCTGACATCCAGGGCCCGGATCTGATAGAATAGACGGCGCCTGGGGACTCCCTGAACTGGACTCAGCCACTTCATTAACTCTGACCTTAATTCTGCAGCGAAGCAGCAAGAGGAAGGGCTGAGTGGGGGGGGGAGAGGGGAGGGGGGGACGGACCGTGAATAAATGTAGACTGAGCGGGAGCAGCGGGGCACGGTTTCCGTGTCCAATTCCTCCCTCACTTACTCCACGAGAATCCCAAGGAGGAAGGATGCGAATAAATTGCTCAGATCCATGGCTCAGGGCTGCGCAGGAGGGATTTATAACCCAGTGTGGCCCCTGGAGGGCAGCGGTGCCCTGCGCCTGCCTGTGGGACTGACCCAGGGAGGGCATCCCAGGGCCACTCACAGCGCGTGGGGGTACCCCCCTCGACCCCCCCCCAACTCGGGGAGCAGGCCCCTGACACGCTGGAGAGGGCTCCCCTGTCTTCTTTGGGGGCTGCACTGCTCCCGCCGCAGGGGAGCCCCGATCTTCTGCACCCGGGGTCACTGGGACAGTGATTTCTGTGGGAATGAGGTGATGACTGGTTAGGGGACTAGTGAGCCTGCAGTCCCTGTCCCTCAGCGAAGCCAGCAAATAGGGTTCAGTTGGATTGAGGTGGTTCTCTGTGGGGGGTCAGGCTGCTGTGGCCCCGCAGACACCCCGTTTCTAACCTGCTCACAGAGGAGCTCACAGTGGGCTGTGGGGGCTGCTGTCACAGAGGCTGGCTGGCACCCCACGTCCCTCCGTTATAGACACCCCATCACTGTCGCCTGGGGATGATGTCAGCTGCTCTGCGGGTGCTTTCAGAGTGGGGACCCCAAAGGAGGCCATAGGCATGCAGCTCGCGCCACTCCCAGGCCCCCTGCTGCGGGCAGGCTGTTCATGGTGCACAGCCTCTGTGCGGAGCTTGTAGGCATTGCTTTCCCTAAGACCAAGGGGTGACTGCGCTCAAGTGTTTGGGTATTTTTTGTCTCCGTCAACTAGAAAGCTTTTCCTGTACCCGCCGACCTCTAAGTCCAAGAGCGTCTCCTTCACCAAGAAGTGACTCTAAAAGGGCTCCTCGGACCGGGATGTTTCATGTTTCCCAAAGCTTGGGAGTTTGAGGTCCTGTGGCAAACAAGTCAAACTCAGAGGCTAACACGGGCCAAATAAACAGGGTTTATGTTGATGTGGGCTGCAAAAAACAAAGCTTCAATTTTCATAGAAACATAGGTTTATTTCCATAGAGACATGCTGAATACAAAGGGCTGAAATAAATGAGTCATCATTAACATAAAATAATAGAACATTTTAATAAAAATTAGTATCTCTTTTTGAGCATTAACTTACCAGACACTGAATAACTGCACAAATTAATAAGCGTAATGCAAATAAACCTATTTTTCTTGTTCTCCAAAAGCGAAATATTTCCTGTTGCGCACACCAAACAAGTCAGTCCAAGACTAATGACGTGGCCATCGGCTGCTAAAATATTCGCTGCTAGTGTTAGTGGAGAGAAATGGTGCGCCTGCGCTTAAGGCACGTAAGGGACATGAATGCAACATGATTATAGTCATCAGTCAGCGAACATTGTAGTTTGTTATTAATAATTATGTATAACAGGATATTGTAAAAATTAAGTTACAAAATTTTTATTAAAACGTTTCTTACATATCATTATATTGGCTGGGCCGCAAAAATATTCACTGTGGCCGCATGCAGGCCGGGGGCCATGAGATTGACATGCTTGTCCTATGGCACCTCACCTCCACCCGTGGACCTGATGGGTTAGACCCGTGGTTCTCAACCTTCTGGCCCTTTAAATACAGTTCCTCATGTTGTGACCCAACCATAAAATTATTTTCGTTGCTACTTCATAACTGTAATGTTGCTACTGTGATGAATCGCCATGTAAATATCTGATATGCAGGATGGTCTTAGGCGACCCCTGTGAAAGGGTCGTTCAACTGCCAAAGGGGTCGCGACCCACAGGTTGAGAACCGCTGGGCTAGACCAATGGCTGCAACCATCTGTGTGTCGATGTCTGTGGATTTAGAGTCTGTATTTTGACAAGCACCAGGGCAGGCAGAGTCATCAGACCTCGGAGGGAGCAGGGCTCTAAGGCAAGTACCAGGCGGAACCACAGGCTGGGCTCACACATCAGTGGGGCTCACACATCACCGGCCGCCTTCCCTAACCCAATGGCTGTGCCAGGACCGGTGACTGGCTGCCTGTGGAGGAGCGGACACCCGTCAGGAAGTTGTCGGGGTGGGAGCCAGGTCTCGGCGGAAGTCACTCGGAAAGAGCCGCCGCTGAGTGGAAGCTCGGGGAGGTGCTGGAGCCGGAGAAGGAGCAAGTGTGCCCTGGGGGAAGGCGGCCCCTGTCCTTCCAGACCCAGAGCAGAGGCTGGGCCTCAGCAGGGAGGGAAAGGGAGCTGCCCCCCAGGTGGTGACGGCTGGGTCCCGAGGGCTCATGTGAGAGAGCTAGAGCGAGGCCGGGCCGGAGGGGAGCCAGCCCGGGGCTGTGGCGGTGAGAGGTGAGGCAGCCTGACCTGGCAAGGTGACGCCTGGGGACTGTCCCGCAGGCAGCGGACGGGACGGCGGGGGCTCAGGCCACTTTATTCACCCTCGGTCACATTATTGTGGTCACATTATTGCTCACGATGGGCTGATGCGTTTTCTTTGTAGAGTTCCTGGCTCATGCAGCGGGCTCAGGCCACCGACCTGCGTAGAGGGAGAGGCTGTGGCCCTGGCACCATAGCAGTTCCCCTTTGGGAGGTCGGGAGGGGCCAGTAAAGAAGGCGCCCCCCCTCCCCCCTCCCCCGGGCTCCTCTGAGGGCGTCTTAGAAAAAGAAGTCACTGGTGAAGAGCACTGGGAAGGAGGAGGAGGAGGAGGAAGGGCTCTGGCTTGGTGACCGGAGTGGGGACCTCGTGCCCTGAGGACTCAGTCCTGGACGGAGGTGGGTGGCGGCCGGGCTGCGGGGCTCAGCCTGAGGCGGGACTGGGTCCGAGAG